TAGCTAAGCAAGGGGTAAATAGGGAAGAATTATTTTGGGCTCAGTTGTGATTATTGTTTTTCTTTCCTAGTTTACTTGTAAGACTCAAGGAGGGGCTGCAGCTCGTGCCTCTCGTTGGGATGATGTATGAACTCACTCTAAAGTTGCTTCTGAATCAATAAATTTATTATTATTCATCAAAAAAACAGGAATGAAAAGTCATTCCTTCAAGCTCCTTTGTCACTAGCACCCAAGCATAGGTCCTACCCAAGATACTCCTCCTTACCGTTGTGTTTGGAATCAGTGTAAATCAAGAACGATGTAAAAGTTTACGCCAGTTCGATTTTGTCGGTGTTTGGAAGGAGTGTGTAATCATGATCGACGTAAAACTCCACTCCGGTTCAGTTTTGTGTGTGTTTGGATGGAGTGGAGTTTTACGTCATGAACCGATGTAAAACCCCATCAAACGTAAAGTTTTACATCGATTATCGATGTAAATACTACATTGATAAAATCGATGTAAAACTTTACACCAATCACATCACGCTTTTCAAAAGTGCGACGGTCACTTTGTTACGATCCATTTGTCCCATGTTGGTAGTATGGGATGCTGTTGTGGGGTATATATGTGTTTGGGTTCCCTCCCTCTAACAGCTAGCTTTTAGGGGTGAGTTCTACTAAAGCACATAACACACTTCTTCATGGTTCAATGTAAAATGTCATCGGTGTACTTTTACACCGATTCCAAAACGCAGCCTCAAGAATTCATCCTCCTTTGTTCCCTTGTTATGGAAGATTCTCCTATTTTTTCTTCCCAAATCAACCAAATGATCACCACAGGAACAGAGGACCACATTAATATTTGCCTCCTCTTAAGGCCCTTGACCCACCTTCTAGTGATTCGCCCAAGGGTTCTCTAGAAGAGGACAATGCATACTTTGAAATTTTGTTCAATTTGTAATCTTTTGGTGCTTATGGAAAGAAAAGAGCAATACTATTTTCAATGAATAACTCACCTAGCGCTAGCAGTCAAGATATGGCAAAAATTGAGAATTTGATATACTCTCTATTCCATCTTATCAGATTTCAAGGATCTACCTTTCGTTAACTATTATAGCCTTTAAAAACATAAGACACACATGGATCAAAAGAACAGGAAAGATTTTTCAGTCAATATGCATTGGTCCCTCCATCTTACCAGGTTTCCCAGACCTATCTTTCATTTAGGAGTGCAACTTGGGTTGGGTTGGGTTGGGAATTTGTTAAAATTTCAACAGTCCCAAGCCTGATGTGGTTGAAGTTCTTCAAATTGATCGATCCAACTAGCATCCCTACTTTCATTAACCTTTGAAATGACTGACAAAAGACAAACTCCAACCACATTATTCAATCAAACAAAGATGAATATTTTTCTCTTATTTTCTTTCTAAAGCCTTTGTATCCTCCAAACATAGGATCAATCAAATAAAAAGCCTTTTTTATCCAATATAAACATGTTTGCCTCACTATCTGTCTGACCATCTCATGTAAGAGACAACCATTATTGAGCATTTTATCAATCCTCATATGACAGTATATATTACTGTCTGCACATGTTTTTTTTTTCTTTTTTACCTTTTTTTCTTTTGTGTTTGTATTTGTTGAGAATGCCATACCAAAGTTATAAAGTTGGTATACAAGTCAAACTAAATTGCTCCAACATGATCTAAAAAGAGTTCGTTAATATATTGGCAACCCCTGCTGTTCAAATTCCAAGCAACATGGCATAAGACAATACACATTGTTTTTATGGGTGTAAGACCATAAAACAATACACATCATACCAACATAAAATAAGAAAAAAAATAATGGGTCCTAACCATGTCATAATATAAGACAATGTTTGGTACTTTGGTTAAAATTCTACTCCAAAGAATCACTATTTGAGAGAAGAGGGTTATTTTGACATGTTGATGGCAATGGGTGATGTAAAATCGCAACAATCAACTTCTGCACCATTTTAACAATGCCTTTGCCATAAATTAAATATGTTATCATCCAATCGTATGCTGCAAAACAAATCACTCTAGCAGGTTGAAGACTTGGTAAAGTGATGATAAAAGCTACCTGATCCATCACATATGCCATTGCCAGAGAGCGAGAAATATTAATAGCATTAGATCTCTGTTCAGCTGTTAACTTGTAATATCTTCTCAATAGATCTTCCTTGAGAGTCTCAACTTCCCACGATTTCCTATCCAAAAGGGGAGCAGATGTACAAGATTCGTCCGGTGATGAACATAGAGGCATATCATGTCTGTCTCTTTCAGCATTCCCAGAAGTTTCAGAATCCATCATAGGAAACTCAGCAACCAAAAAGCCCACGACAAATGGATGTTTCACCATAGGGAAAACTACAGCTCTACTTTCAGGTATCATTTTAATCTACAAGAGAACAGCATCCCAAATTCAATGCACATTGCCATCAAAAAATAAAAATAAATAAATAAATGAAAAAAAAAAAACTCACAGATGTTATTGTACAAACTCTACTAGCAGAATCAGGTTAACAGGAAAAAAAAAAAACATACTTGCTGATTTGAGAGTGCAGCTTCAGCTGCACGTAAGCCCGTTGGAACACCAAAATTACCAATTAATATCACAATGTCAGATCTTTCAGCCACGGTCGTTCGCGGATAGTAAGTAACCCGTCGAAGCTCTAACCGGTCCATAACATAACTACCAGCTGGCCTTACATAAACCTATAGAATTGCTCACGTCAAAAATAATAAAAAAAGGAGTCCTTGAATAAAGTTATTTAGATGAATAATCGATATTTAATGAACACCGCATAAAAAATGCGGTTTGCAAGACAGCCCACACATAGTATTGTTATAATTAGAATATCCAAGGCAGTGTAACTCCTCATAAAGTTTCCAGTTCATAGTTCTTCCTTTAATTCTTACGAACTCCCATTAGCTAGAAGTTTTCAAGAATTAAGCTGGACATGGAATTAAAAAAAAATTGAAAATGTTCTTGATGTGAAGACTATCAAATCAACTGACCGATAGCACGGAATCTGGATCGACAATTCTCCGGAAAAGGTCGAGCTGCTCTACACAGAGTCTCTGGAAATCTGGGCTCGGTAAGACCAACCCATTTTTTCCATCTTTTTCAACCCTCTGTACAAATTCCACCGGAGATGTGGAAGCAATGCGTATAGCCGCTGCAACCGCAGAAGCCGAAGAAACCAATCCGCCTTGTTCCTTTTCTTCTTCACCATCATCGACTGAACCAGCATGGCTGACGTGACGAAACGTTTCAGCACCAGAGTTGGCGTTTTGAAGGCACCGGTTATCCTCGGATGTGCCATTTGCGAGTGAAGAAGATGAAGCATTAGTTAGGGCACTTTGTCTCTGCGCTACAAAAGCGTTCTCCCGGCAAGAGTTCTGAAATTGGAGTATGGGCTTGTTGTTGGAACAAGGGACGAGATTGCTGGAGTTTCCGTTGCTGGGGTTGCACAAAAGAATTTTTGGGGTAATTGCAGAGAGCAGCATCGTCTTGGAGTAGATGATGAAATGCCCCTCCCCGCGAAATGGGAGACCGGAATCGAACGAAGTGGATTTTAGTGGATTTTCTTTTTCGGTATTCGGTGCCATGCACCGTTAATAACTTCCCCAGTTCCCCTTTCCCCAAAGTGCTGGTTGCGGGGTTCGATTCCGCGCAACGCTGAAACAAATTAGTAACAACGAGCCAGCCCTCTGATGGTAAGTGGATTTAATGGATGGGCTCACTATGTACAACGAAAGATTCAACACGGACTGTATAACGTATCTCTTGAACAATCCTTTAATTGGAATCTATTTAACACCTAAATAGTATTGGAGCGGATTGGATGAATCGGACGGTCTTATTATTGGAGTGCCCAACAACAGCATTGTTTGGGAGATTGCTCGATATGATACCTGAAATATATGATACCGGAAAATTTTACATTCAGCCAACGAGTATGAGGTGATAAATCGAGTTCACATTGGCCCTACAACGCGCCACAACAAATCTCGATCGTGTATCGGCAATCTCTCTCAATGGTGTCAATTGGACTGCATTTTGGTACAATATGAAGTTCAATGTAAACTCGTTATAAATGGATTAGGTCTAATCCGATTTAATGTATATTTTGGACCATTTTGGATTTGGTCAAATTCAATGTATAGACTGTTCAATCTGTTCAAATTTGTTTTAATTAGATTAATTCTAATTCAATCCATTGAAACCTATATTCTTATCTTCTATTAATGGACCATATATTGGCTCCATCCAATCCAACCCCATATAAATTCATTATGGATGAACTGGATCCAATCCAATCCAATAAATACTTTGGACCATCAAATCTGGACTGGTCCAATTCAATATGTCATGTTGGTCTGTCTAGTTCATCCAAATTGATTTTGGTTTAGACAGAGTCCAATCCAAAAGTCCATTGACACCCCTACTCCCAATGACATCCACAAATGTTCTCAAATGTGCATGTGATGTGCATGTGGGAGCATCTTATGGGGCGCTGATGTGATCTCTATAAATCAGGTGTTCATATTTTTATTAATATGGTGTTTGGAAGCATGGGCACTTTTTGAGACCGATTTTCAATAAAAAACGCCCATGCTTCCAATACCCATTTTTCACAAAGAAAAAAAAATGCTACGTAGGTAGTGAGCAACACTATGTTGTTTGGTAAAGTGATTTTCATTATCGTTTTTCATGTATGTGCTAATAAGTAAGCACCACATAGGATACACATCAGTCAACCGTTGGGGAAAACGGTTCACCTATGCTATTGGGTGGTTTGCAGCCACCTGCCTTTAGGTGCAAGAATTTTATGAAGAGAGCTGGTTGGAAAACATGAAGTAATCAATGTGAAGAAGATGATGTTGGAGATGGGGATCAATAAGTCCTCAGGTTGTTGCTACTTAAGCATAAAAATCCATTAAAGCATAAAAACATTACAATCTATCATATAAAATTTGGTTAATATATCTGCATAATGAATTCATTGTTGATGAAAGAAAGCAAGATATTTGCCAATCTGCTTGTATTAATCTAGGGGTGAGCAAATGGGTAAGTTATACTCGGAATTGACCTTAAACAGGCCCTACTCGACCTATTATAGGGTAGGGTCTGGTTCCAAATTCTTGGAAGTGACCCCCACCCAAGTTAGTTCCAAGGTCTAGGGGTTTGTCCTACTTGAACTGACCCAATGAATTGACCTTGGTGGAACTAGCCATGGAATTATACTTGTCTTGAAATAAACCCCAAAGTATTTTTAAGGATGTGAAGATTTGAACCCAAGCACTTGAGGTTATAAAATCCACAGTCTTACTTGACCATCGAGTTACTTAAGTGATTTGATCATTTTTTTCATTTCAATATTTGTACATAATAAATAGTGTAAAAGGTAATATTTACAAAATTTAAATTAAATTGACAAATTTTGAACCATATATTAATAAATTATGATAATCTACTTATTAAATTTCTCAATTCAATAAATAAATATAATATAAATTTTAAACAATATATTATCATTATTGAAAACCAAGCTTTTGAATGACATATTTCATCTTTTTCTTGAATGGGGAGAGTAAAGAAATAATAGGTTCCATGAGTAGACCCTGAAACCAACTGCCAATAACAAAACCAACCCTATAACCGACCTTCACAGTGTAGGTTCTGATTCTAAAACCTGAAACCGACGCTTCCAAGTTCAGCCATGAAACCAAACCGACCCATACTCACCTCTAGTTAAATCTAGCAATATAATAATAATTGTAGCAAGTTCAATTAGTCCGTGTTTTGGCATTCTATTGGTGGTTCAGATTTCAAAACCCACAAGTATGGGCTAGTTGGTAGCCACCATCTCAAAAGAAATTAGTTCAGAACTTTAAGAAAGGAATTCATTTGCCCTTTTTCTTCTATATATGTAATTGGAAAATGTGTCCATTGGACAGGGACCACAATGTGGATTGAAATGCTATACAAATGAAATGATTCCATTTCTCATAGCATCAAACATTAAAAATTTGAACCTCTATTAAGAGATGTAAACAAAATGGTATTCTACTTTATACGATTCAAATTGCGAAATTAATATGGACACGACGACATTTATCCCTACTTTCATCTACGTACCCATCCCCATTTTCGAAGCAAAGAACTTTGTTGGATCAAAGAAAAGGTGATTGAAGCATAACTAGAAGAAGGGCTGAAAAGGTGACATCGGTGGAGCCAACGAGATACAACAAATGCAAGGCGATCGAGGGAGAACTTAGGAAGGTTTTGGAAGATTGTGAGGTAGTGGATGATTGATGTAGGATAGTGATGGCGGTTGCAGTAGTGTGATACAACAAATGCATAATGACGGAGAATTTATAAGGTTATTGGAAATTTTTATTAGTGGTGTTTTATTTTGAAATTCTGAGGAATAGTGGAAGATAAATTTGATATTTTGTTTTTTTACATTAGTGGTTAACAACGATGTCAATTGTCATAAATACTATGAATACTTCAACACAATATGTAAGCAATAAGGACATAATTAGTCAATTAACTAAATTATAAAGGTAGTTTAAGAATTTTTCCCTTAATATAATTTTGTTAATTGAGAATTTAATTATGTTTATTTTAAAAGATAAAACCAACCATGTTGTGAAACACCTCCTTAGACAATACATAAGCTCGTTCTTTGGGATGTTTTGGCCAATATTGTTATGGACACACCACCGGGCAGCACAATTCGGTGCAGGCATAGGCAGCAGCACGCACAGCGGGCCGCCCAGCAGCACGCACCGCCAAGAGCGTCGCACAGCAACCCGACAGCGCGCCGCACGCATCGCTCGGCAGCGCGCACAGCAGCACGCACCGCTCGGCAGCACGCACCATGAGCCGCGCGCACGCACCCGGCAGCAGTAGTAGAGCGGGGCCCACACGACAGCTCATAGGGGTGGGCCCACCCTTATCTGGACACGTCAAAAGAACTCGCCGCCAGCCTTATCCTCATCCCTTATCTTATCTTAAGTAAGAGTGTGTTACCAATTACAGTAGGTAATTAGGAGTTTGAGTTCAAGTTGGAGTTTGAGTTTAATTAGGAATTTTCTTCTGTAATCTCCTATTTAAGGAGCTATGAATTGAAATAAAGGACATTCAGTTTTCCAGTCAAGAAAAGAGTGAGGAGAGTTCGGGTGGTCTCTTGGACAAATCACCCATTATGAGAGTTTGGGTGGTCTCTTGGACAAATCACCCACTAGATAGCCAAAATAGGGTCTGTGCGCAAGGCCAAGGGCAAGGGAAGATCAGGGGTTCCTACCGTGGAACGACCCATGACGCGATCTTACGCTCAGGCCCATAACAATTTGGTATCAGAGCCAAGCGTCATGGGCGACATGGAGCAGCTATCGTCCAAGGTTCACGAGCTGGAACACCATCTCGCGGAAAATCATGCGGAGGTAAGAGAAGTTAAAGAGGACGTCAGGGAACTTTGACGTCTACTGGAGTTATACTTCTCCACCAGGGAAGGGAGCCCTGAAGGGGCAACCACTAACCACAACCGCCGCCCAGTTCGGACAGAGGGCTCCGGTGAGCGACAGAACGACACACCGACAGCAGCAATCATACCCAAATACAGTCGTCTGGAGTTCCCCTCATACAGCGGCAGCGGCGACCCACTCGGCTGGCTGTACCGCTGTGAGCAATTCTTCCACAATCAGCGCACGGAAGAAAAGGACAAGGTCAGCCTGGCAGCATTCCACTTGACCGATGAAGCACAGCTCTGGTTCTACCGAGTGAAGCAGGAAGAACCAGGCCTTAGTTGGGGCCAGCTCAAGTCGTATTGCCTCCTCCGGTTCGGACCCCCATTAACGAGCGACCCTTTAAGGGAGCTCATTAACCTCAAGCAGACTGGGACCGTCGCGGAGTATCAGCGGCAGTTCCAGACCCTTCTCACCAGGGCCTCGTCAGTACGCCCAAACCAGCAGGTGGATATGTTCACAGTTGGTCTAGCCGAACCCCTGAGAGTAGATGTAGAGATGCAGAGCCCGCCTAACCTGGTCACGGCAATGAATTTGGCCCAAGCCTTCGAGCGCAAACTACAGATTAGCCGAGGGCCGTTCAGCATGGGATGCCCAGCAACGGCTTGGACAAACCCAAAGCCTACAGAAGGAGGGTCTTCACTGGAAGCCAACAGGGAAACCCTCGAAATGGCCCCATATCCAGCAGCCAGCCCAGAATGGAAGACACAGACGAGCACCAATTCCAGATCAGCATCCAGTGTGGGGAGTAGCGGCGGTACACCCCCTATTAAGCACTTGTCTAGGGCGGAGATGGAAGAACGTAGGGCAAGGGGGCAATGTTTTAATTGCGATGAACTCTACTCAGCAGGGCACAAGTGCAAGAGACTTTTCTGCCTCCTGGTGAAACAAGAGGAAGAGGAGGATGAACCCCCTCCATGGGAACCCGATCCAGGAGGGCAAAGCCATTCAAGATTCCTTTGAGGGTGTCTTCGACACCCAATTCGAGCTTGAGGACAAGCTTGTAGTCCGGGAGGGGAATGATGTTATGGACACACCACCGGGCAGCACACTTCGGTGCAGGCATAGACAGCAGCACGCCCAGCAGCACGCACCGCCAAGAGCGCCGCACAGCAACCCGACAGCGTGCCGCACGCACCGCTCGGCAGCGCGCACAGCA